TTGGTTTTTAAATAAAAAAAATGACAATGGTGACACTGAAGGAGATGTTTAAAATGAAGCCAACGTACCCTTTTTTAATATATTTTTATTTAATATACTAAGATAAATTTCGGCTCCCATATCACTGAGTTGAAATGGTAATTCATCCCTAGAATTATACAGGTTTATGATTTATAATACTGATGCTATTGAAAATTTGAGACTTAAAAATGTATTCTTATTGTTTTTTGATTAAATTACACTATTTACATAAAGCTTCCAGTGTAGATGCCATTAAAGGCATGTGACAACCTTTCTCGATCCCACCACACCATACCATCTTACACAAACTTCTGAAATACAACAATAAGTATGTTTGCAAATGTTTAAACAACGAGGCACATAATTTTTTCAAGTTTGTGTAACTTCCTTGTAATTCCAGTATGTGAAGCCATTAAAATACTGTGACTGATTTTTTTTTCTTTAAACTGTATTAGATTTTGTAAGATAGATACAATGTTTACTTGTTTGGAAATACTACTACATTTCAGCAAGGGTAGTAAAATTAGGATATATCACAGTGGTGTTTCTTTAACTTCCCCCACAGGTAGTTTGTTTTTTCATGCTAACATCTATGGGACACTTATTTTATTTTAGATGTGATTGTCACTTGCATTCTGTGGTTTTACACTTAATTTTTTTTACAATTTATAAGATGTGAAAATTATAATTGGAAAAAGATATTGATCAAGATTAAAGTGTAATTCTTACCCACTGGAAGTATTTCTCCAGCATTTCTGTTATATAACCATAATTGTGATAAGCAGGTGGAAAAATCTGTGGGTATATATATGTTTAGTATACTAAGTTTTTTTTAAAAAGAGAGAAATTTGAAAAAATAGTATGAAGTAAAACACTGGAGTAGAGGCAGAATCTCCTTCCATTGTTGGCCATCAAAACAGAACTATTTTGGTCCTTGTTAATTCTCAAGAGGTTGTTTTCCACACATTTTTCTTGAAAAATTTAAACATCCATTTATTTTCAGCATTTTTTTAATATAGCTGAATTTTGATTGTGCTCATAAAAAATGCTGATCTGACCCAACAAGAGGTTTCAATCAAGTTTATCTTTCTCTACTCCAAAATGCTACTGAAGAACATCTAATTAATGTAATTGGAATGGTATCATTGCATTCTTTGGTATTGACCCATTATTCGAGTGTGATTTTATTCACTTCTTCTAAGACATTATGGGTCTTAACCAGACTCCAGGGTGAGCTAGTAAACTTACCTATCTCAGTACATGAAAAAGAGGAATTAGTTACAGTTCCCTAGCTACTAGTACAGCTTTCAGCACCTTCTCCATGGTGGCTTGTGTCTGTACCATATATAGCTATGAAAGGATGGGAAAATGCACTGAAATGATCTAAGAAGTAAACTATCAACTTGACATGTTTTCCTGCCTATTGAAAACCCTCTCATATTGAAACCCATTGATAGTGAAATTGTAGAATTCCACCAATTTAAGTACCATCTGGTTGTGCTCAAGGCTTTAAAGCTGTTATCTCCACATAAAATTTCAGAGTCCTCTACTTTTTCTTCACCAAACTATCCATTTTTAAGCCACAAATATTTTTCCAGCTCTTTCAGATTTTATCTAAAAGTATATTTTAACAGTATTTAAAAAGTTCTTAAACAATAACAATTTATCTTGATGGATGGCATGCTGTGTTTTTTCATTTTATTTTAATTAGCCATTGTGGAACCAAATTCCCCCTTTGTTTTAATCTTTTGAATATTGTTTAATTATTGTTATCATGCCAGATATCTTAAAGGTTATTTTACCAATACAGTTTCATTTAACATAACCCATATGGAATCAATAGCCTAGTTTCCTAAAGTGAATGCTTGGAAAATCTTACATTCATATGTTAAGAGTACACATCCTTTCCTCATTAGTTGGAAAGTACAGGGATTTTGGCACAGGTTCTGTGTGGAAGCATTGTGCAGCTTTTATATGGATTTTGTTTTTAGCCTTTGATGACACTGTTTAGAATAGGAAGTATCTAATAAGTAAAGCATTTTGTCTCAAGTGCTGCCAGTTTGTTTAATATATGCCTGGAGGTCTGAAACATTATCTTCTTCACTACAGTAATATGCATTTAATTCTCTGAAAGCAGAAGGTCGAACTTTTAAAAGGGACGCAAAGTACATTTTCAAACAGAATAATTCAAAACATATGGAAGAGGGGAGCAGAGTAATGTACAGTTGGTTTTTATGGTTTAATCATGATCATGTTAATGCACACCAGTAGCTAATTAAAGAAAACTTTTATTGTTCATTTTGAAAAAGTTAGGTAAAGAGCAGGAGAGCTGATTTGACAGTGCTGCCCAGAGATACACACCACACTCACCCACAGCAAGCAGATAATGCTATTTTTGACAACTTATTTGTCTCCTTAGGCAATAATAAAGCAAAAGTTTTTTTCAGAGTGATTACATTGTGAACTTTTCATTTTCCTCAGAGGAATGGTAAATTTGATGCTCAAGTTTAGGGGCCAGCACACATAACTAATTGTAAAACGTTTTTCAATAATGGGCTATGTACTCCTCAATATTATAGATAAGTAGTCTACAGTGGACTGGTAACAAACTGGTCGATGTCTCAAAATCCTCAGCTTGTTTCAGTGCTACAAATAATTTGGAAGCTTAAGAAAATGRAAGGATATGGGTTTTTAACCCAGTTTTAAGAATTTAGTTTTCTGGTACTGGGAAAGTTAGACCTTTTTGCCCTTCCTTCCAATGAGAGGGTCTTTCATCTCTGTATCACTGGTTCAGATTCCATTCTACTTGGGAGTGACTAAAATTAGTTACCATCTGACTTCTGTTCAATAACCTGTATGACCCAAGCTGATAGCTGCCATCCTGCCCTGCTGATTATTTATATCTCAGGATCATACCACTTGGCACATGCGGGAGCCTAATGTTGCAATCTCAACACGTAATAATGCTGGACACTAAATTTCTTTAAAACTTCCCCTACAGGTGGTTTGGTTTTTCATGCTAACATCTATTGGAAACTTAATTCATTTTAAAGCAGGAGAGACTAAATTTTAAATATAAATATAAGTTAGAAGAAAAGTCTCTATGCAGAAAAACATCTAGTGACATTATAGTCAATTGTGGTTGACTTTCCTGAGAGAATAAAATTAATTTATGAATCTTGAATTCCTGATTTGAACTGAACCTAAAATATTTTTTAGTTCAACTATATACAGATATTTAGTTTGTAGTGTTTCAAAATATGCGCAGTAAATTCTAGATGACTCAAGTGCTTGATTTTATTACTTTTTCACATGTTATTTGAGAATTTCTAGTTGACAGTGGATTTGGACATATATTTGAAATTTTTATAATAGGATAACAAAGCTTTAAAATTGAGCTGTTGTCTCAAAAACCAGTGACTTTATTTTTACTTTACTGAATTTTATAATTAAAACTGTTTATTCATATATTAAGTCAGCCTGTAGTTATTAAGCTTTTCTGTGTGAAAAAAAGTGTGGTGTGTTCCGAGCATGCTAACATGGTGTTTCCACATACCACAGCCTGCTAGCTGCCTCACCTTGGACCTGTTGATTAATCTCTCCACGCCTCATTTCCTCAGCTTTAAAATGGGGATAACAATACTCTCAAAGGATTATAACAGTAAAGAAGATGTATGTATCTTGCTAACAACATGTGGCAAATTATAAACATACTTAGTAGCATCTTTTTTATCTTCAGTTGCTTACAATCTCTGAGACAGAATACACTGTGAAAAGTGCTATAAAAAGTTGTTTTACTAGGCAGAAGTAGGAAAGACTAGTAGCACCTGGAAGGTGCCTGTTAAAGTCCCAATATGAGAAAGAGGACATAGCAGAGACTAAGAGGATAGCCTGAAGTATGTTCAGCCCACAAAGTAGAGGGTACAGAGCAGGAAAGACCCCTACATCTGGGACAGACCTTATAAAGTATAGTATTGGTAAATCTTCATCCATATATACTTATATCTTAACAATCAACTCTAGTTTGATGGGAAGTATTTTTTTATTAATTTATTTTATTTTTTAAAATCTTTTTGATAGCAGGAGATTGAGCCCAGGCAGAGCTTAGCCACTAAGCCGCATCCCCAGCCCTTTTTATATTTTTTATTTAGAGACAGGGTCTCACTAAGTTACTTAGGGCTTCACTTAGTTGCTGAGACTGGTTTGAACACGCAATCATCCTGCCTCAGCCCCCTGAGCTTCTGGGATTATAGTGTGTGCCACCAAGTATTTTTTCATTTAATATTATATCAGAAACGAACATCCCATCAGATATTTATATATCTTTTCCAATGTTCCAGGTACTGCCCTGCTCCTTAGTGATCCATGGAATGACTTGGCCCATTCTTTCAGCAGTTCTTCACCTAGTAGAAGACATAAACATGATAGCTACCTGGTACTAGGTATTTACTGCATGCCAGCACTGTGCTGGCCTTTTTTTTTTTTTTTTTTTTTTTACGCACACTGCCTTGTCAAATTCTCATAATAACACTATGAGGAATTGCTATTTCTCATTTTATAGATATGAGTATGTAGCTTTAGAAAAGTTTGAAGGTTTCCCAAAGTCATCTTGGGCTTGATCTCCAGGTCTGACTCCAAAGCCTATACATAGTCATGCATCACTTGATGGTGGGACAAACATGCTTTTAGGTGATTTCCTAATCATATGAACATTGTAAAGTGTTCTTACACAAACCTAGATGATCTATCAAGCCTACTCCACACTTAGGCGTGTGTGTGTGTGTGTGTGTGTGTGTGTGTGTGTGTGTTGGGGGTGTATATCTTGTTATCTTTGGGCCATGATGTACAAAACAACATGAGATTAAAACTCAAGCACAAGAAAAAACAATGCAATCAAGAAGAGAGATATAGGGTGAGAAGCGGCGGCAGCGCCCAGAGGAGGCAGAAGGCAGATAAAGAGAAGCCCCTGGGTGGGCACCATGGCCGGGATCACCACCGTCGAGGCGGTGAAGCACAAGATCCAGGTTCTGCAGCAGCAAGCGGATGATGCTGAGGAGAGGGCTGAACGCCTCAAGTGGGAAGTTGAGGGAGAAAGGCGGGCCCGGGAACAGGCTGAGGCTGAGGTAGCCTCCTTGAACCGAAGGATCCAACTGGTTGAAGAGGAGCTGGACCSTGCTCAGSAGCGCCTTGCTACTGCCCTGCAAAAGCTGGAGGAAGCAGAAAAAGCTGCTGATGAGAGTGAGAGAGGTATGAAGGTTATTGAAAACCGGGCCCTAAAAGATGAAGAAAAGATGGAACTCCAGGAAATCCAACTCAAAGAAGCTAAGCACATTGCAGAAGAAGCAGATAGGAAGYATGAAGAGGTGGCTCATAAGTTAGTGATTATTGAAGGAGACTTGGAACGCACAGAGGAACGAGCTGAGCTGGCAGAGTCCCGTTGCCGAGAGATGGATGARCAGATCAGACTGATGGACCAGAACMTGAAGTGTCTGAATGCTGCTGAAGAAAAGTACTCTCAAAAAGAAGACAAATATGAGGAAGAAATAAAGATTCTCACTGATAAACTCAAGGAGGCAGAGACCCGCGCTGAGTTTGCCGAGAGAGATCGGTAGCCAAACTGGAAAAGACAATTGATGATTTGGAAGATAAGCTGAAATGCACCAAAGAAGAGCACCTCTGTACACAAAGGATGCTGGACCAGACTCTGCTTGACCTGAATGAGATGTAGAGCTCCCCAGTCCTGCCCTGTTGCTGCTCCTCCCTCTGACCCTGACTCCGCCTGAGGCCAGCCAGCCCTAAGCTGACCTTGAAACTGAGGGCTGATCTTTAACTGGAAGGCTGCTTTCTCCTTTCAACACCCCCTCGACCCCCTACCCCCTTGTCTTTTTCACCAAACTGTCTCTGCTTCTTCCCAGAGATTTCAGCTGGGCTAGAGGCTAAGCACCTTTGGGAACAGCATTTAAGGGAATGTGAGCACAACGCAAAGTGTCTTTAAAAGCATGTTGTGATGTACACATTTTGTAATTACTTTTTTTGKTGTTACAGTAACCATTTGTAAAACATTCCAAATAATTTCAGAGCTCTGAAGCAGCAATCTAATTCCCTTCTCACTTTTGGAAGGTAACTTTCCAGCCTAATTGCTATTGCCGTCTCCATAGAGGAGGAAAAGAGGAATGGGCCTGCCTTACTGAGAGCCAAACAGAGCCCAGGGAAAGACTCTACTATGGCAAACCTCATTGCTCTGTGCAAAGTACTGGCCAAACCAGAAAGGTGATTCCAAGAGGAGTTAGCCAAAAAACAAAAACCTTGCTATTCAGATTTTGTTTTATTTTTAGCTTTAAGGTATCTTTAGACAACTGTATTCTTATTTTTTACTTTTTTTCATCAGAAATGACCAAATTAACATGGTGAGACCTCTGAGACTTTTTGTTYTTCTGGTGCTGGGGATTGAACCCAGGGCCTCGTGCTTGTTCGGCAAATGCTCTACCACTGAGCCATATTCTTAGCCCTGAGACCAAATTTTTCTCCCATCTCTACCCACTTCCCAAGTGTTCACAGAATGGATCATGGGCCCCTTAATCTTGCGTGACCACTTAATTGCTCTCCTGCTTGCTTGAAAAAAAAAAAGAAAGAAAGAAAGAAAATTATGTTTTGGCCACTGATTTAGCCATATGAACTCATCTCATCACCCTTTTCTGGGTCTGAAGCTGCTGTATCTAAAAGTGCCATCTCATTGTGCTTTGTATCAGTCAGTGCTGGAGAATCTTGAATAGCTTATGTACACAACTTTTTAAATTTTATATTATTTTGAAACTGCATCTTTGAGGTGGGGTACCTGGCCACCTCGTCTGGCTGTGAGAGTCCTGCAGTCTGGGCTGGCAGTATGCTGATCTTTCAAAGTTTCTTTTTTTCTTTTTTTTTTTTTTTTAAAAGAGAGAGWGAGAGAGGAGAGAGAGAGAGAGAGAGAGAGAGAGAGAGAGAGAATTTTTAATATTTATTTTTTAGTTCTCGGTGGACACAACATCTTTGTTGGTATGTGGTGCTGAGGATCGAACCCGCGCCGCATGCATGCCAGGCGAGCGCGCTACCCCTTGAGCCACAACCCCAGCCCCTTTCAAAGTTTCTTTCCCAGCCCAATCCCCACTTTTTTAGGTGAGGTTTCATGAGCTCTGTTAGGTGTACATCCTGCAGCTTATTGGCTTAAAATGTATTCTCCTTTGTTGTGGGCCAGTTGGGAGAAAGACAAACAATAGTGCAACTGTTTTGATACTGAATATTGTCTTTTTGAAATAAAGAACCAGTCCCTCCAAAAAAAAAAAAAAGAAGAAGAAGAGAGATATAGGAGGCTGCTGTAGGTTTAACATGGCATGCTGATTTATAGTAAATTTTTATTTCCACATTTTTTATTGGTGCATTATAGTTGTACATATTGATGGGATTTATTGTTACATATTTGTACAGGCACATAATATAACAGTATAATTTGTCCAATATCACTCCCCCATCCTTCCCCACCTCTCCCTCCCATCTCTTGGTCTCCTTCTTCCATTGATCTCTCTTTGAGTTTTAAGAGCTCTACCCCCACCTTTGCTTTACTTTTTATTCTCTAGCTTCCTCATATGAGAGAAAACATAGTACTCTTAACCTTCTGAGTTTCAGTTATTTCACTTAACATGTTAGTAACTTTTATAAGTCAAAATATATGCAAAAATAATGATTAAAAAGTATAGTATAGTAAAGATACAACCAGTAATTTCTTATCAACTATATTCTGTGTGCAATTATATGTATTATTTTTTTTGGAACTGGGGATTGAACCCAGGGCCTCACACATGATATTCCAGCACTCTATTATTAAACTTCATACCCAGACTTTTTATTTTGAGACAGGGTCTTACTAAGTTGCTCAACTGGCCTCAGTTTCGTGATTCTCCTGCCTCAGCTGCCCAAATAGCTGATATCCTGTATTTTTCTATGACTGGCAGTGCAGTAGTTTTATTTATACCAGCATCACCACAAACACATGGGTAATGCATTGCTCTCATGACGTTAGGATTACAGAGAAACCAGGCAATAGGAATTTTTCAGCTTTATTGTAATCTCATGGGACCACCATAGTATATGCATTCATCATTGACCAAAATGTTATATGGTCCTATACTATATTCATGTAACCCTGTCTGATATTAACACCACAGAACATTTTAGTAGAATATACCCATCCTCACTCATAATGGAAGTATGAGTGAAGTACTAATCTCATCAAGAGAACAAAGAGTAAAGAAATAATTCTCAGACAAATTTTGTTAATTTTGATGGACAAGCAAATTTTTGCTAGCTATGGCAAACTCCAGGCAGGAGTACAGCAGAGTAGAATGATTTAAAAGAACATGGTGTCTTCCAAGAGCCAGGGGCAAGTTGTTTTGTTTCAGATAGCATATTTTTTTCACAATATGTCTTCCTTAACAACTATGAAATCAATTAATATTATTTGAAAAGTTTTAATAACTATTGTATCATTCTCTTTAATTGTTTATTAGCCCTTGAATATTTCCACAATCAGTGCTTGACAAGCAACTTACAATAACTTATAGCATGGGCAAATTATACTCTTTTTTCCCAACCAGATTAAGGAAGAATCTAAAAACTGATAAGTAATATCCAGTACTTTGGGAGATAATTTTCTATTGCTAATAGTAATGTAAATTAGTGCAGCCTTTATGGAAAGATAATAGATCTGTTAAGCAGTAACTTTAACATTATTCATGTCATTTACATAGTAATTCCATTTCTGGGAGCCTTTTGTAAAGAAATACAACTACATGTTTGTCATAGATGTTTGTTGGCAAAAATTAGAAACTTGAATATCAATTATATGGAAATGCTTGAACAAATTATTCCTAACACTAAATAAAATATTATGCAGCCTTTTAAAATCTCTATTTATGCAGAGTATAATAGCATGTTAAAAAGTAGGCTGAAAATTTGTCTCTACAGTATGATCATAACCACAGAGTAATGTAGATGAAGGGAATCTATACAAATGAGGAAAAAAGATTACAAGAAGTATGCTCTATAATATCATTGGTTATATTTGCTGACAAAATAGGAGTAAGAGCATTTTGCTTTTTCTCTTATTCTTCTGGATTTTCCATAGTTACATTGATAATTCTATTTTATTTCAAAGAAAAAGTAAATGAAAAATCTAGTTGCTAAATAGATGGTTGGAAGACATACAAAAGAGGAAGAGAAGTCATGCTGCCAATGTGATCATAACCTCTGCTGCCACCAAGTTGTTCCTGGTTTTCTTCTTCGGATTCATGCCTGGACAATTTGGGGAACTAATAACCTTTATTGCACAAAGGAAAAATCTACCCTGAGAGGCTTTAATTACTTATTTTCTGACTTTGACTTTATTTGATCACCTACATTTACTCTTGGGCCAAGTCTTATTATACAAAGAAAAATAAACATCTTTTTAAATAGTGTGCATTAATTTTATTTACTTTTCTTTGTCTTTCATAATTTAGGATTACTGATTTTCTTCTTCATTCCTCACTATGCAAAAACCTATAAATCACTTTTATAACAAGGGTAAAGAACATAATATAATCTATGTCTACATAAAATATCATCTCAACCAACATTAAATATGATTTGGAAACAATGTATTACTTGGAAAATCATTATAAAGAATACTAAAATCATTATTTGAAGAGGTGTTTTTAAAAATATCTGCTAGATTGTATTAAACCTAAATAATATAATCTGGTACTTAAAAGTTTATTTTAATGAAGGGAATGCACATTTAATGCTTTTTCTCAAGTATTTCCTTAGCATTCTATGGTGAATTTCTTTTTGAGAAGGCACCTACCTACCTACTTTGTTTTTATGATTACTGTTTCATTAGACTTAAATTTTAAGTTCCTTTTTAAACATCCTTGTTTATATAACATTGTTTATATAATAACACTTGACATGCACAGGTTTGAAATATACTCTTTTTTCTTACAGATCTCCAAACAGGAACAGAAAAAAATGGATACATTTGATGGAGGCATGGCTGAAACCTCATCTCGGTACAGTGGTGCTCAAGACAGTGGAATTGGCAGTGACAGTGTTAAAATCAGAATAGTGCAAATAGAGCAGCACAGTGGTGCTAGTCAGCACCGCATTGCTCGTCCCTCACGCCAGTCATCAATTGTAAAAAATCTAAATTTTATTCCTTTTGATGTATTTATTACAGCAAGTAGAATCTCACTAATGACCTATTCCTGTACAGCCTTGCCCAAATCAAAATCACAAGAACAGAAGGAAGATAAAAAAACAGGCAAGAGTTCATTAAATCTTTCAGAAGTTGATTCAGATGTTGCTAAGCCCAACCAGGCATGTATTTCCATGGTGACAGCAGAAGATCTCTTAAGCAGTAGCACTTCTTTAACTTCAGGAAAAAAAATAGGGGTTCTCTCTCTTGAAAGTCTTCATGCATCCACGAGATCATCTGCAAGACAAGCACTTGGCATAACTATTGTCCGGCAGCCTGGTCGAAGAGGAACTGGTGACTTACAACTAGAACCATTTTTGTACTTTATTGTGTCCCAGCCTTCCTTGCTTCTGAGTTGTCACCACAGAAAGCAGCGAGTGGAAATATCCATTTTTGATGCTGTGCTTAAAGGGGTAGCTTCTGATTACAAATGTACAGGTAAGAGCCTTCAAATTACTAGAGAT